AGAGTGTTGGTAAATGGTATGTCTGAAGAGATGTGGTTTTAGACATTATCTTTGTTTCGTGAATGAGGTGCTTGAATACATTCTGCATTCTCTGACCTTCATTTAAGTGGCTGGGGTCATGGTTTATCCTCAGTTTTCAGAAACCAGAATAAATTTTATGGAAGAAATGCTTTCTTTCCCCCCTTAAGTTTTTTATTTTTTTCATAATACTTTCTAAGTATTGCTTCACTGGTTTGGTTTAGATTCATTTGCCATGGGCTCGTCAACGGTGAGAAGTACATTTTCAGAGTCAGAGCTGTTAATGCAGCGGGACTCAGTGAATTTTCACAGGACTCGGAGCCTATAGAAGTGCAAGCGGCCATTGGTAAGCTATTTTCTGCTGCTCTTTTCAATGGTAAATACATATTTTTTTAATTAAGTAAAGATGTTTGCAGCAACTATTTGTAACTAATTGTTTTGTTTTACAATGCTGTCCACAAATAATAATTTATCCATAGATCCTACGGTCACACAGCATAGTTTCACAGTCACTGCACTCCTGTAGACTGTTCACCTTCACCACCCAGTCTTCTTCAGGGGTTTCTTGTGAACCACTGTAAGAGAGTAGTGCGAAGTTCACTTCATAGGTATCCTGGAAAATGGAATGTCGTTCTGATTCCATAATGTGGTACTTATCACCTCTAACACACACCATCCTATATACAGTCAGTTCCCATGAAATTTGTTTCCATACCTAAACCTAATAATCAGTGCAATGTATTTTTTGTAAACCTTCTATAACCCTGTGTGTTCTCCCTTTGCTGATTAATTACTTCTGTTTGCCACTGCCTGAACTAATCCGTAAAGATTAATGAGCTCATTGGGCTAGAATAAATTGTATGTCTGCAACATTCTCACTCTCATTTGTATCAAAACTGCATACCTCGCAACCTTAGAGCAGAGAGATGTGGTCTAGGGCAATTTTGTGAGATCATCTTGGAAGGATCAGAAATATGACTTGGAAGATCTAATACTAAAATAATTGTAGCAAATGAAGATTGCTATTAACTTTCCACATTTCTTCTGCTCTGAAAAGTAGACGTTATTAAAAGAGCATTACTTGTGAGCAGGTTGAGAGGTGCACGCATTTCAAATCGTTTTGAATTTAGGCTTAACATGTTGTGCGTGAAACCTGTGATTTGTCATACTTTGGCTGTATTGTCCGCTGTACTCATTTCTTCATTCTGTTGACTAAATGAAGAAAAAAGAATGTATTCTAATTCAAAATGTCTTTGCTGTCTTCTGGCAATTATAGGGGGAGGATTGCTTCATGGTGTGTGTCCTGAACTGAGTGGTAAAGCTGGTGGACTAACAGACTGCACTACCAGCTGGGAAGGCATGCATGAGTCCTCCCAGCCTGTCTTTGACACAGAAGCTTTGCTAAAATGCAATGCTAAATTTAATACAGACACACTACCCAGTAGCTGTGACAAACTGGGGAGTACAGGAGACAATAACATGAGAGAAATGGTTAAGGACGCTGTCACATCTGCACCACAAAAAGTTGCTGCTAAGCAGGCAAGTAAGTCTCAACCCAGGGATCTTTTGACACTGGAAAAAGTGACAACGGAGAAAGATATAGGTGAGAGTTAATAAAATAAATAGATTTCACTGCTTTGGTAGATCCACTTCAACCTGTTGTAACATCTGCTTGTCTGCACCACAAGTGAACGTGCTCTCCAGTGATGCATCTTCCATCAGACCCATTAATTACGTGCTCAACTCTCCATTAAGATCATTATGCATGTAATGGTATCGGAGACCACTTTACAAACTTAGTGGGTACTGAAATTGAAACATATAAATCCATTTACTAATTTAATAGCTTGTTTGAGTACATATTAATGTACCCAAGATACTGTATTATTTCTAAAGCACTTCAGTAATTTGTTAGGAGTCTTGTTACCTAGTCTCTGGGTTATGTATGTGTGAAGGAAATAAAATCTGATTATGATGGCAAGCATGAAAATCTGTGTTGTGTTAGGAAATAGGAAGATCCTTTGTGGATTTATGCCTAAGCTACAGCTTATCCTCTGAGACACAGTGCTAATGAATGTTGTGTTGTATCTCTGACTGATGGCAATATGTAATGAGGAAAACCTATCAAGTTGATGGCACACACACAAAATCACATTTTATGTTGTCAACACCTAAACACCCATTGTGCCGGAGAAATGTGGGGCTTGAATTTCATGTAAGTCCTGGTACCTGGCCCGTGAACTGAATTCCTCCCCAGGCCTCTGAAGTGAGACTCAAAACACTTGTGCAAAGTGTTGAACTGAAAACAAAGTAGAGGCACCTGGGGCTACCTGACACTGATATAAAACATTAAAGACAAAAGGAAACATATATGATTTAAGATTTCCATCAAAAGTAGAACTTTAGGGTCACAAGTAGGGCTCTTCACTGGTGCATGACATATTGGGTGTGGGCAAGCATTTCCCCACTAGATACAGAAAAGTCTTTATAAGACAGTGGGTTGGGATGAAGTTAATGATTTCTGTATTGTTAAAAAAAAAATTAAAAAGGGGATTATGCAGTAAATTTTTTGATGTAAGTTCCAGTAACAGACATGTTCTACTTCTGGTCAGTCTACAGTGCCTATGATCACTCTTCGTTTCATTAAGGTAAGATCATGTGATGGGTGCAATGATAAAATTTGCACAGTGTATAAATTTAAAAGAAAAAAAAAAAGAATTAACAGATAAAGTCCATTCTCAGAAGGGAAGAATGTGGGCCTATTTAAAAAAAGGAACTACCATGAATATGTGAAAAAAGCATTGCTTTCAGCAAAAGAAAACAAATCATTGCATCTCCAATTTTTTTTACTTTTCCTGTAATGTTCATTTTAGTTCTTCATTTTTCACAGTTTTAAAGTGAGTCCTGATCACTTACATCAGAGCTGCAATTGCAACACATTCTTTCACTAAGCATCAGCTTGCTTCTCAAAAACCAAATGATTCTAAAAACTAATTCCTATGCAGTCTGGGCTTCTTCATTTGGTTTATGAAAGCTTTTATGCTGCATTTTTTATTCCAACTCCAGAAACTTCCCTTGACCACATAAATATTGTCCTAATTAGGAAATGCAGGATGGGAGCCACCTGAATACAGTAATTGAATGCCAGTCTGTCTATTGAAATATTACTTCCTACTTATGTTTTATTCACGTTGAAACAGCTGCTCCATCTCCACCTTGTGACATCATGGTACTTGAGAGTGTTCGTGACTCGATGGTATTAGGATGGAAACAACCTAAAGTCACTGGTGGAACTGAAATTACCGGCTACTACGTGAACTATCGTGAACTGGTTGATGGAGTTCCTGGGAAATGGATGGAGGCCAACATTAAGGCCATTAGTGAGAGGGCATACAGGGTAAGGTTAACTTCTGTTATTTCTGTGGGTGCAGATAATATTTCCAAAACAGATCTCAAAGATAGATTGGGATGAATTATGATTCAGTGTACAGATTCATGTTCAGAGGGTTTTATATCCATGATGATAAATTTATTTAGCTCTGTTAAACTTCTCTTATTTGTATGCATAGAGTATATTTGTACACTTATCTGTTAGTCTGGCACCAACTGTTCGTCTCTGAATTCACTACTCTAGACATAGCCTGAATTTTTCTAAGTCAGGCCCTCACAACAAATGACATTCCTACTGGGCTTGGTGCACCTATCCCAGCACTTGCTGGAACCAGCTCTGTGCCTGCTGCGTTTTGTGATCAGTTCTTGACCCAGTTTAGAGATAATGCTAGCTACAACCTCGTTGAGCTGCTGTACAAATGAAAAGCAATGCCAGGACTGAGTTTCACTCTGCTGTGAGGACAACTCTTGCCTTAAGTGAACTTGCTCTGTATCACGAGACAGATTAATATGATTGTTGAGCAATACCCTGCTCCCTCCCTGACTACCAAAGTGACTATCAATAGGAAAAGGGGTTTACAATTTGAGTGTGCTAAGACCACTCATGCATCCTGATCAGAGGAAAAGCCAAGATAGTTATCGCCTTATGTATGATGTCAGTAATGCTTTCAACTCTTCAGGCACTTAAAAGCATGCTCAACACTTTCAATAATTATTATTGTGACTTTCTTCTAAAGCCTTAATCCAAAGTTAGTAAGTACCATCTTATTGATTCTGCAGATTCAAAACCTGAAGGAAAACATGGTGTACCAGTTCCAGGTGGCTGCTGCTAACCTGGCTGGGGTTGGGACACCCTCCCTACCCAGCCAGCCCTTCAAATGTGAAGAATGGACCATTGCTGTACCTGGTAGGATCCTGAGTGGGAGGTGGAGGTTACTCACAGCCCAGGGGTGCTCTGTGGCTGATTATCAAAGTTCTCAATGCCTTCAGCTCCAGGGAAGTCAATGGGCACTGAAGTTCATACCCACACTTGAATGTCCCTCGCTTTGATTTAGTGTATTTACAGTGATGCATTAAACAATCACCATTTAATCAGTAGCAAGTTACAAGCAGCTTGTATTTTCTTTATTTTTCCTGCTTGGTTTCTGTACTGTCTGACACTTTGCTTCCTAGTTTAAATGGTAGACATAAATACCTGTCTAAGGTACAAGGCAGAAGAGAATGAGGTCCTGTAACCCTTTTCTAAACGTATCACTTCAAGGCCAGATTGCTGGCCTTTTAACACTCATTGAAATGAATGAAAATAACCTCCATTGACTTCAGTGGACTTTAGAGCAGTCCTTGAAGAAGCACATTAGCTTAATAATTAACTTATTTGCCTGAGTTTGGAGATAATTTGTCATTTTTGTTTGTTCATGAATATTTGATCAAGATACCAAATCTCAACCAACTGGATTGCTTTTTAGGCTACTCTTTTTACTAGACATGGGTTGTATTTATATTGGGTCTAGGTATGATACAGAGATGCTGCACATGTTATGTCAGCTCTGGGTGTACAACATGGTGTCTGGTTTTGGTTTCTGAAGTCTTATGTGTTAGCCTCTTCGGGATTTATTTTGATACCACAACTCCAACTTTTATCTTTCAGGGCCACCTCATGATGTCACATGCACAGAAGTTAGGAAGGACTCTTTGGTTTTACTGTGGAAGGAACCAGTTTATACTGGTCGTAGTCCCATAGCTGGTTATTATGTTGATATGAAGGAAACTGAAGCAAAGGAGGAACGCTGGAGAAGTGTCAATGAGAAGCCACTTCAAAAGAAATTCTTGAAGGTAAATAGCTTAAGATTCAAATACTGGTATTACCGTATAACCTTCAGGAAGTTAGCCTTTGATAGCATCATCCTGTGTTGATCATGGTTCCATTTAATGAAACACTTAGCAGGCTATGTTGTGCCGAGGATACACAGATGTAATGCCTGTATAGTCAGACAAGACAGTAACTCAGAAGATAATCTAGTATGACAAGCCTGAAAATAAAAGAAAGTGCTGCTAAAACCAAATACCATTCTCGTAAGACAGGAAGCATCCCTAGCATTTTCTGGCTCAAAGGGCAAGACAGGTATCACTCCACAAAAACAGATGGCACAAAAGCAGATGTTGTGATAATGTGGCTGGTGATTCTTTTGAATACAAAGTACCCTCTCCTCACATTTCACAGCAAGTTAAACCCAACCTTTTTGCACTATTATGCTACATCATTTTGTGGAATGACTTCTAAATAAGGGATTGGCAGTATCTCAGTTTGAGAGATATGTCTGAAGGAGGTTTGCTATTCATATGCTTTGCAGAATATTTGAAAGACAACTCGCTTTAAAGTGTGATCCTTTTATATATGTTTTAAAGGAGTATTCACAGGTGTTATAATGTCAGCATGATTCCTCAAGTCACCACAATTAAATCTGTACAATTACATGCCCTCCTGTTTCTAAATAGGTGTGGCAGCTGGCACTTATTACCCTAATAATTTAATTTTTTAAATCCAGAATTTACCTGCAGTAAAAACTATGTTGTTTAAGAGGTCAATGTACATGAGTTAAAAACATCCTGTTCCAATAACAGTCTCCTGTTGCCAAGAAATCAACGGCAGTAATGACGCTGTCTACATGTTAGCTACGCATACAAGGGAGGAGCAGGCCATACAGATTAGTCATGTCACTCTGGAATTGAAAAAAAAAAAAAAAGAAGAAATATTTGTCAAATGGGAAAGAAGCAAAACAAAAAAAGGCAGAAAATATAATTGTCAAGCCTCCAGACTGATCTGAAATAAGGGTGAAATTAAAATAAGTGTGTTGTAGCACATCATGCATGTGTATTTGCTTCCTCCAGTTAGGTGGCCTAAAAGAAGGTGTGAGCTATGTGTTTCGTGTGCGGGCAACAAACCAGGCTGGTGTTGGGAAACCATCAGATGTCACGGATCCTGTCGTAGCTGAAACACGACCAGGTTTGTTAGAAGTACTTCCTCTTTTTCACCATATTTAAACAGGTTCCTGTTTGTGTGATGTGTTTACATACAGGCTGCATGTGAGCAGCCTGACCCCTCTCAGGTCAAACTTTTTTACTAAGCAGGAAATGAGTTGAGGGTCATATCTTACTTTCTTGTCTGCTATATTTTAAGGTCAGAACAGATTTTCTTACTATAACTACAGGTTCAGGCATATAAAAATACAATAAAGTTGTAAGATTTGCATATATCTATAGATAAATGCATAAGCAGAGGACCCACTAAGATCAGCTCAACCAAAACATTCTATAGATGTAGATTTTGCCTTTTCTGTAGCAAACCAGTTTGTTTATGTTTTATCTCTCTCCTTCCTCTGACTTGTATAACGTGCCATTCCCACCCTGGCTGCCTCAGGAGCATTTCCTCGGCATCCCTTCCCTGTTTCTGACTCCCAAGTCCATTTTCACATCTCCTATTCCTGCAGCAGCACTGGCCCAGCTCTCATAAATGCCCAGGGCAGCAAAAATCCCAAGAAGCCTTGAGTTAGCTCTCAGTGAGGCTGTAAGTCAAGAAAGTCTGAAAAAGGGGGTCTGAAGCTGACAGTACAAAAGAAGAACTGGAAAATTTGGAGTGGGGCAACTGGGGCAACTGCCAGTGAGGCTGGGATGTGAAGAAGGGACTGGAAGGAATAGATGGTAAGTTGAGACAGTGTAAGATTGGGATACAAGGACAAAAAAGGGTAAGTGTGTGAGTAAAAAGGGCTTGGGAAAGAATCTTTCAAAAATACGGTAGCCATAATTTCAGATCTGCAAGCCACTGAAGCACTAGGGCTATTTCCACCACCTGCAAGTGGAGTAAGGTAAAACTTAGAGACTTATTATAGAAAGCAACTTATACACAGTGACCACTTCTAAAAAGGGAATCAAACCAGTATTAGTACTAAACTTTTGGCTTTACTAATCCATTTTCTTTGAGGGTTAATATCTATCTGTCAGACTTTGATAAAAACTTGTTATGATAACAATCTTCAAGTGTTCTAAATAAAGGATTGGTCATGCCACTGCAATTAAAAAAAAAAAAACCACAAACATAAACTCTTGTGAAGATGATTATCATGACAAAAAAAATTTGTACAGCATTTTCAGTGTTCACTCAGATGAGGCGCATGCCCATGTGGCAATATGAACTTGAGCAGAACATTTGGTTTGCAGACCTCACCGTTAGAGAAGGAGATACATCTCAGGATCACGGCCTTTTTGCAAGCAAGGCTTGGGTTCATAGGTAGTAATGACTGTGGGTTCACAGGAAAGCCAAGGTTTGGCCCAGTGAAATCTCAGGGAAGCTGAAAATTATGTGCTTGTACAAATCTGGTTGACCCATATTTTGAGCTGAGATCTGCAGATACGGCATCCATCAAACTAAGCTTCTTAAAAGTATTAAAAAGGACAAAAGACTTATAAAAAAAATATTTCAGCAGTCTCTTGGGCAGGCTTCCACCTTTCTCACTCAAACCACACAAATCTCAAGAACAATCATACCATTTTTTAAAATTACCACAACTCTTTTGGTTTTCACCAATGAGAGCTGCCTTTATAAACATCTTGGATGAAGACAAGAATATTGTCAGACCTGAATATTGTCAGGTGTCTCTAAACAGTTCCTGATGGAATAATGCTTTTGGCAAATGTGTAAAATTGCCAGACAGTTGAGCTTTCTAACCAAAGAATGTAGGTAAAAATAATATCCTGAATGAAAATATTTGCTTAAATACGAGAGGCACCAATTTTCTTTATCGGGTGACGTGTAAATATAATGATGCGATACTTTCCATCCACCTTCTCTTGTTTGAAAACCACATTTAATTTTTACAGTTATCTTCTAAAATTAAATGAAAAAACCCACACACATAAACAAATACCAATCCAGGCTATTTCTGAGCCGCAACTTTGTCATTAGACAAAAGCACTTTGGTGTGTGAGGTTCTCACAGGAAGCAGGGGAAATCCAAGAGCAGACTGCAGCTCTTCCCCATTGCTGCCCTTAGTCCTTGTGCATCTTGATGCAAAGTAAAATCAGGTTCTGATCCTGCATCAGTCACTTGAGAAGGGCTAGAACCTCAGAAATTAATGAAACCTTCCTCCATTCAACTTTTCTGACTAGCTGTATTCAAAATTATACCGTTAGCTCTAGTGGTTTGAAGCCGTCTGCTTTATCTTCACGTTATCACTTTCTTTTCAATGCAATAAAACGCTCAGATAAATGGAGTTTTGATATGACATCTAAGTATTTTTTTTCTTATGATGACTTTAAGAGAAGCTCTGGGTGATTTGTTGAAACCACCAAGCTATCTAGAGGAGGGAAATTAAGACTGCTACTACTATGGCAGCCTCTTTGGTTCCACTTTGTAGGATAGGTGGAGACCTCTGGTCAGTCATTTTAAAAGATTTTTTTTGGCTTATATAGATATTACAGGCAAGTGCCATCATCACTTCTGGAAATAAATGCTATGCATTGTCATGATAATGAGAATACTCTAAAAGAAATGTAAAAGATTCTGTCCTTCAAATGAACCTTCTGGCTGTAATTCTTTGCACATCACATAAAATGCCATCAAAAAATTCATGTGCTAATGCTCTACAGGAAACTAAACACTAATGAAATGTCAAGTGATTAATTTGCATATAATAAATTAAATTATAAAAAATTTGCAAATATGCTGCTGCCTAGTAAAATATTTGTAGACCTTACACTTCATTTATCCTATATTGGTACTTAACATGCTTCATTACTGTGAGGGCTGGTAAATAACAGGACCAAAATGGGAATATTAGTCTCATCTTTCATTAAATAATATGGCAAATTATAAAGACTAAGAAAGCTGCATGTACACAAATTGTCATTACAGGAGCTACTCACAGTGCTGGAAAGGACGTGTATATTATTAGGATGATGAAACACAGAAAGCTCCTTGTATGCTTGAGGCTCATTAAGAATTATCCTGAAAATAAAGCATTTAATCTCAATGTCAGGAATAAGGCTCTTGTTTTTAAGGTACAATACTTTGTGGAGAAAGTGTGTCATTAGCATTCTGGGCAGCCTGGAATTGTCTTAGGCTAAGTAATATAACATGAGTGCCCTATTCAGATGCAAGATCCAGCTCAGAGCTGTTTGGAAAAGGAGGCTGGATGTTCTCCAGCACCTCTCAGTGCACACGCTCTCCCTGACATTCTCAGGCAAGTTGTTGAAATGAAAGTTAACGCCACAGATGACGAGTTCACCAAGCTGCCTGAATCCCAGTGAAATTCCCTCAGCTTCACCGGGGCGTGAGGGGGTAGGCTAGAGGTGCCTTCAGGTTTCTGATCTGAGATGCACCCCCAGAACCTTTTAAAGGACAAACTGGGTCACCTTATCCATCTCAAGGACTGTAGGCACTGGCAAAACAGGGTGGGCGACTTAAGCAGCTAATTGCAAATATTCACTCCCTTTGTGGGCCCGGGATTAAATGCTGCAGATGGCGGCAGGGCTGGGTGCCAAGCACAGCAATTAAACATCCCAGGGTGAAGCCAGAGTCACTGAAAATGTGTCTCAGCTGCACAAGTGAGTCTGATGGGGCAACTCGATTGTTTCCTCTTCTGCCTCCTGCACCTCTTCAAACACCTACATTTGCACACAGTGGGCCCTTTAGAGCTCTTGTCTTACTAGGGAATAAGAAATTCATGCTGCGTAATGAAAGCTATGACTACCCCTTACCACGGAAAATGTTGTTATTTAATATTTCAAACATTTAGTGGATTTAGAGGCTTGCTTTTTTTTTTTCCCCTTCAGGTTTTTCCAAAGCAAGTATCATAACTCCCATGCATGTTTAGACTTCCTGAAATAAATCAGATGATTTAGGATGACTTTTAATCTGTTCCTTACTTTTATGGATTAGAAAAAGAACTGTTCTTGTGAATCAAGGACTGAGAATTTCAATGTTTGCAGCAATTTATGTGCCGACTGAGAAAATGGCAAGGACCTGCTTAGTCCACCCTATGAATGATATCTATATCAACTTGTTTACTGGCTTTTCTGAGAAAATGGAATCGCCTTGTTCTGCTCTTTAAGGAACCAAGGAAGTGGTGGTTGATGTAGATGACAACGGAGTCATTTCCTTGAACTTTGAATGTGATCAGATGTCTCCAAACTCCAAGTTTGTTTGGTCCAAGAATTATGAACCAATTGAAGATGATTCTCGACTGAACATCGATACCAAAGGCGGAAAGTAAGAACCCTCGGGGGTAGCAACAGTCTCGTGTTTGAGAGATCTAGGCTGGTCACAGGAATCCATCCTTTTTGATGTATGACCTCAGTAAGAGTTGTATCTGCCTCTGTTACTGGAAGGCCACTTTAGGAGTATGCTGTTCTCCAGCAAGACCATTTGGAAATTGTAGCTCGCGCAGAATGAGTCAGGCCTCCTATTTAGGCAATTTAGTTATGTTTAGGCATAGGGAGAGAAAATCTGTGCTCTGTCATCTTGTAACCTGTCAGTCAAGGCCAATTGTTGTTGTTGTCATTATTATTATTATTACTTTAAATCTCCAAGGATAGAATTATCTGTCTGCTTGCAAAATGCTTTTGCCATGTAACACTGTTGCAATCTGTGGAGGTGCTGGAGTAAGCAGTACTCTTTTTCTGATGTAGACACCACGGCTTGAGTTGGTAACTTCTGTAATGCTCTCCAAGCCTAGCCTGTTTCTTCAGGCTTTTAACAGAGAAAAAGAAATGGCAAATGCACAGGTTCAGCCTATGTGCTCTCCTAGTTATAGAAACCATACAGAAAGAAACAGTGGCTCACCACACTCTTTGTGTTGAATATGAAAATTGAATCAGCTTGTACTTACAGTATCCTTCCACGCTCACCGAAGACTCAACAACATGTTTTTAAGCATGCTTCAGCTAGCTTAGACCAGCTAGCTCCAGTGCTTTTGGCACTAGCTGAGAGTTTATACAGCTTCCTGGGAAGGTTGTACAGCTCGTGCGTGGTTCTGTGCTGTCAGCCCTGCAGAGGCAACAGGTCACCTTTGACTCTCATGGTCTTCTGGATGCTCTCGGTTCTCCCTCCATTAACGGATCCCTCATAGATACAGAGTCTGTGCCATCTCCATTTGTACCACACATGGTAGGACCTTCCCTGGTTTATATTGGGCAGAGCCCCATATTTGCCTCTTCAGTCAGAGTAAAAGCTCATACATGACTATTTTTATCTGGTGTTAGAGACATAAAGGAGGGATTCAGACTGATTTCATCTTTCTATCAAAATGTGTTGGTTTGTTTTGTTTTTTCTAAAGGTCAAAAGCTACCTTTAAGGACCTTGGAGAAGATGATTTGGGAATTTACTCTTGTGTTGTTACAGACACTGATGGAGTTTCATCAAGCCACACAATTGATGAGGAAGGTAGACACAATGTCTATTAAGTGTGCCTGTTTTGCTTTCACATCTGTTTTTTTCCTGCTGCTGTGTCTCTCAGATCCATCAGGCATGCACACCTTATATTATTTATTTTATGTCTTTTGCAGAAATGAAACGTCTGCTTGCTCTGAGCCACGAACGCAAATTCCCAAGTAAGTGAATCAAACATATCTGTAGGGGAGAGCTTTGCATGCAGTGGGATATCACAAAGCTCCTTTCACTATCAGGTGGGGAAGTTGCTATAGTAATTTCAAATTAAAGTGGTGTTGAATTGAAGATCTAAGATTCCTTTTTTTTTTTCTTTCTTTCAGTACCTTTGTGTATTACCGGTGTTCTTCCTGATCTGTTGCAGGCCACTGGTGTAGGCATATAATTAGTCTATATAATAGTTGGAAAATAAGTATCCCATTGGCTTTGTTTCTTCTGCAGAACAGCCTTTTATACTTGTTCAGTATACCTAACCTAATTTGAAAACCTGAATTTGAAAAATTCTCTAACTACTCCAACTGAAGTTAACATAAGTTAAGGTTAAGGTTAAGGTTAAGGTTAACAAAGCAGGCAACTGTAGTAAATACAGCTATAAAGATCTATATATACAGAATTTTCCTGCTGGAATTATTCCCTCCCTCTTTTCTGTAACACTTGACAATATGAACATCTTTCCTGCTGCTTGGGATGGTATTTTTGTCAAATCCACAGACCCCTCATACCTTTGTGATATCCTAGTAGTAGCACAACTTGGTTATTTTCATTGGAATATAACTTGAATAATTGAAAAAAATAATACATTGAATTGTAGAATGAATCCTATTATACATAATGAGGCAAGACCTAAACTTTGTCTCATCTTCTCCCACTACATTCTATTCTTCTTCATTCCAGGCACTAAAACTCTTGCCTATGTTTTAACATGTCCAGCTTTGTGCATGCACTGCTGGCACCTCTGCTAACTCAGCCCACATCACGCCCCTCAGCCCAGTCAAAGCTTGGCCACAGAAATGGCCTGTCTTTTTGCCCACAGTATCTCTCTCTCTCATTTCCTTCTTGGTCTTTTCCATATCATCTCTACCCTTCTCAACATATTGTATCACCTTTTGACAGCTTAATGACAGCCCAAGCATCCCCTTGTTTACTCCTGGTCCTCCCAGTTGTTTCCTCCTAATTGTATCTTCACACTGAAAGTTAGTCACCACAAATCCTTAGTGTTGTCACGCATCCTTACTTGCTCTGACCCTTCTCTTCTGGGTGCTCTTCCATGCTCTGCGTTCATAACTAATGTCACAAAATAAGCTCCTCAGGACACAGACCGTGTCTTCTTTTTTCGCATCATCTTAGGTAACAGTACACTTCTGGCTGTGCATGAGCTTCCAGGAGGCACAGGCAAAAAGGAAGATCACCGCAGAATGTATCTTAATGTTTCAAGGAGGAAACCGTCTTACTTGCTTTGGCTACTCTAGTGCCCTGTGGACACTGAAAAAAAATTATAAACAGGGGTTGAGATATGTCTAGTTATGACTATGAGGCTAGAAAAATAATAATGAGCTCCCATGGATCAACCTAAAACTTTAGTCATATCTCCAGATAATCTGTTTGAGTATTACCCAAATTCTCTACAAAAAAAATTAGTTGCGAGGCATTTCTGATTCAACATAAGCACTTGCATGTTGCTTGCTTTGTACTTCTGAATGGTATTTAATTGTAACTTCTGCTCAGAAGCATCTGCAGCTGGTAACTTCATGGGAAAATGTGTTGCTTGAATAACACAGCCTTATAGAATGCAACTACGTATGGGCGCGATAGTGTATTGGTGCTAGATAAAAATAAATTGTTCCATCTCTTCAATTTAGCAACTGCCTGAGGACTCCTTGTCAAATGCTCGCAGTAATTTGTGATGCTATACAAACAGAATGTAAAACCTTGTAAGCACGATGGCTGGAAAACGCCTCAAGTCGCTGTCAGCTGGTGCTTGTGTAAATATTTTAAAAGAAGACTTCTGCTCATGAAGGACTGTAATGCAGATTCATCCAGTTCCTTTGGGCTGGGGAGTTAACGGCCTTTTCCCAAAAAAGAATACTTTTGCATCCTTTCAGCCCTTTATTTAACAGTTTCTGAGATACCTTCCTCTTTTCCATGTTAGACTAAAAGACATTCGTAGTTAATTACATGCAAATCAAGTGGGGGTTTAAAATTGCCGTAGAGCTGACAGTGAGACAAAAGCAGCGCAGCCTGATGTCTATTCACAGCGTCTCCCTCTCGCTTCCACTGGCTCCTGTAGCATTTCAGTCGCTTTCTTTTGAGAAATTATGCAAGACCTGAGATTCCTTTTGTTTCTTACAAGCGCTGGGTGAGGAAGCTTCAGACGGACCATTTGCACTCCTGGGGCACTCTCCTATGGGGTTGTTCTTTGCCCTGCTCCCTTTTTAACTATTTTTTTCTCTCTGGTTAAGCCTGTGTCCTTTTCATAATTCTCTTTTTTTCCTGTGACTGTTGCTTCACCTCCCAAAAGCCTTATATTCACCAGAGACGGGTCCTGTGACACTCGGGCACCAAAAGCTTACAAGCGAGTGTGGGAGGGCATAGGCATGGGGAAGGGGTGAACGTGGGAAAGGAAGACACAGAGGGTCCTCACCCCCCTAACTCTGTTTAGCAGTGGGGTTGGATGGCAGCTCTACTCCAGAAGGCACCCCAGTTGTTTAGGATGGTGCAAACAGAAAGATTAGAGAAATTAAATACTACCACCATCCCAGTCCTCTCCTGCTGTAGCTGGGCCTTTGCATACATGAACAGAACAGAACAGAACAGAACAGAACA